TGCTTCGAGTGCGGAATGCTCCGATGTAGTCCCGTGTGGTGCATCTGTGGTCATAATAAATTATCCAATGGATGGACCAGCAACATTAAGCAACTCGATGAGTTTATTAAGAAATCTCAATTACAAACAAACTCTGCAAATGACGCCTATTTGGAATGGATTCCGCGTGATTGTATTGTTCATGAAGAATACGGAAATGAAACATGTCTATATGTTTTACCTGGTGCTAGTATAGCTGTTAAATTGACTCCACTTGAAATAACAAATGAGACAGACGATTCATATTTTGACATGGTAAAACTATAATCATCAACTACGCATCATGTTTTACTGAATAATTAGTGGTTTAATATAACATACTATTTTCCGATAGTTATGCGATGAGCATCCCGACATTCTTACCTCAAACGTCTGGATTACCATCGGATTTACGTACGACGCAAGTAAACAGAAGTATTACCTAATAGAACATGAGAATGGTTTATGTTTAGCATGTGCAAAACAAATAAACCCTAAGGTGAAGATATTTTGTTATAACTGTAAGGCACCAATACTTGCCGATTGGACTACGGGAAATAAATTTTTGGATTCATTTATTATGGAATCATGGAGTAATATGAGATATGAATTTGATACCTATATGCGATGGTTAGAGTATTCCTTCACGATGCGTATTGTAGAATTGACAATACTCCTGGATGGACGGATCTTGTTGGACAGGTCAAAGAAACGTCCTCTAGTGAAATGGTTAGCATTGGGAAATATATGCACGCGAGCGATTTCTGAACAGATAAGTAGTACCGCGTCGTTTGATGCCTATCTACAATGGATAGAGTATTCTCTCTTGATGAACGTACAAGAAATGACATCGTTATGCCATGGATGCACACTTACTGCGGATTGGTTGGATCCAACCACAAATGAATCGACACGGGTAATGCTGAAAAAGATAGTTGACGGACGGGATGCTCAATCATTTGATTTTCATCAGGTAAATCATTCCACGCATGTAAAATAAGGCAAATAGTATTACAACAGGTCCGGTTCACTGACAATCATTTCACTGACAAAACTACCAAAAAAGGATAAATTCGAAATAATGTTGGGGAGATTTTGCCGGTGAAATGACTGTCGGCTTCCCATTACATACGCATCGCATAATAATTGTATTGTTTATTCAATAGCTAACTCGGGAATATCCAAACATATTAAACGCCGAGAATATCTGGATAATTGGAATCACCCAAGAGCCAGCTACTCAAGCATATTATCTAGTTTTCTACCACGACGTATCCGCAATAATATACAGGCATATGCAATTCGACACGCTTGCAAAGTATATGAATTATAGTGACTTTGATGAAATCAAGGAGATTGGATCTGGCGGATATGGAACAGTTTATACTGCCAAATATAGAAATTATTCAGAAGTAATGTATATGGGGGAAACTGTTGTACTCAAGCGTTTCAATGGTTTCAATGAAACGCCGGAATTATTTATTTCAGAGGTAAGCAATGATTCATAGTATCAATTAAAGTGTATTTAATTTGACATTGTGTTTGTTTTCATTTAACAGTTCAAAAAGCATGCCAAGTGTTCGTACAATACTTTCCTTGATTTTTTCGGAGTCACACAAGATCCAGAAACAAGAGAGTACATGATCGTTATGGCATATGCGAACAAAGGTAGTCTTTTGTCTTATTTGGATCAAAATATTAACAGATTGACGTGGATTGATAAATTACTGCATTTGAAAAGTATTGCACGTTATCTGAGCCTTATTCATTGGACAGGATTAGTACATTGTGATCTTCATGGCGGAAACATTGTCGTGAATGATTTTGAAACACTTATATGCGATCTTGGTCTTTCTCAATCAGTGAATTCACGCGAGTCAAATATAATTATTCGAGGTGTTTTACCATTTATTGCACCAGAAGTTTTTCATACCTGCAAATTTACACAGAAATCAGATGTGTATTCATTTGGTGTCATCATATATTTGATTGCTAGTGGTGAACCACCTTTTAGGGATAGGCAATTCGATAGAAATCTAGTATGCGATATTATGGGCGGACTACGACCATCGATGCCTGATTCCACTCCAGAAGAATACAAGAAACTTGCCGAGCGATGTTGTGAAGCTGATCCTGATAAGCGTCCTGATGCAGAATCACTTTGGCTTGATATCGGTGATCTTCTTAGAAAGCTGTGTAGTGACACCTCCGTCAGCGGTGCATGGTCTACTATTTATCATAACGATGTAAAGCCCTTGACACGTCTTGAGAAGGAGAGTAAATACTCTAGTAAACCCTTACCTACAGGGGCTTTACCTAAACCGAGAAATAGCTATGATTTGGATTCAGCCGCAGGTATGAATTTATATGTGTTTAATTTTAACACGAATCAATTGCAATATTAACGTTCATTCGTTGTCTTATAATTTAGTGACTCAAACCTTTCTGAATACTTGTAATTCGAAATTTAACTCTTAAAGTCAATACGAATGCTTGTACTTATCATATTTCTCTCTGTAATTAGCAAATGAGATTCTATGTTGGTGACTTTCAATGATTTGTACGCGAAAACACATTCAATTAAAATTCTTAGTATAAGCATGATACTATAATTTAGTTCAAATGTATAAATTGCGTACTCATAGTATAAATGTTAAACTGGGCCATATAGTCCTTTAGTCGCCAGCCTATCCCTTTTTACCACCTCAGTATTGAAAAGGCCTCTTCATATGAAAAAATAGCAGCCGTAAATACGGGCCGTAATGTTACGAATAGCTGACCCCCTAACATCAACGGTTGACATCACATATGACTTACTTCATTTAGTATCGCTGAAATACATTTCGTTATTACGTAATAGACATGGAGAACGTGGATGGTTGTTACGTGACGATTCGAGAATACATAACCACTCCACCTCACATAGACGCGAGATAATACTCAATTGGTTATAGTAGTCCTTCTTGGCATAATATTACCTATGGTGAGCTCATTTTATGATTGCAATATAAAATACTTCATAACCGGTGAGTAATATATCAAAATTGTACATCGTACCAATACTCAGAACTATTAAAAGGACAAGTTCTATTGAATGCCTCAAAAAATTGCACTTTCCGCATTACCCGTTAATGGAAACGAGCAAAGCAAATATTCAGATTTATTGCGTGAGTATTTCACGGTACTCGTTTTACTCTTCCAGAATACAGTATTGGCATCGTATTGAGCGGATAAGAAGTGAAACGTGTTCAGATGCTAAACTTTTGCGTTATTGGAATCACCTGCTATCATTTCTTCTTTCACAGCACCGGCAGAAAAACTTTCTTATATCTCTAGATGTCCGATCCGTCTTTCGGAAAACAACCATAGATCTACTCTGAACGGACACCCGAGCATTTGACGCATGCTGGCAAGCAATTGCCATTTAGTGTCTAATCCGTCCTCAATGGAATTTACTTGATCATGAGTTAAACTGTTTGACGGCTGCAACACCTTTCCTATTGACACATACAGCGCAGTTGCGGGACCCATTGTTGTCCTCTTCATGTAAGCGGTGTTGAGAAATTCGTTTGACTAGGAAAATTACCCGGTTTTTAGATGAAAAAGAAACAGAGAAAGAGAAAGGTAAGCGGCTCTGGACGAGTTGAGAAATCTTATAATAATGATCAGACCGGCATACTTTGGATATCAATTGTCGAACTTGCAATTAAACTTCCTGAGATTATAGCGTACCGAGCATGTGAGAATAAAGTTTTCATAATGCTATGAGATTCACGGCCAACATATTCTCGGTGCTTTTCGATATGCTCGATTAATGGCTGACCGTTGAGCTGCTCGATTTCGAATCCAAGTCGATTACTAATAATCTGCCTCGTAGTCATTCCTCGCTTCTGGTTGGTGGACTGCACACTGGGAGGCGCCATTAGACGATAAGGACTCGATGAGGACGTTGGTGCATCCTTCCCCCCCCCCCTTCAAATTTCAATTTCCTTAAAATGTACAATAGAGCGCTTAT